CCATTTGATACACAATGTGTGGCGGGGGTACTGGATGGGCAGCTAGGGGCACATTCGCCAAGTCGTGATTCTTACCTGCCTATAGAGATTCCGGCTTTGGGTGACCAGGCACCACCACGCAAAGATAGCAATGCCGTGGCAAGTGCGGCTGATTCGGTGGGCTCCATTGTAAATAGCAGCCTGCCAGATGCTGAACCAATAGATAGTGTCCCTCCCTCTTTTCATCTCGGGAGCCTCACCGCAGCCGATACCTGTGCACTGATTGATGCAGCCTATGAACAATGCACTCAATACCGTCTCTATATTTTCCACGTTCCACTGGGGAATATCGGGCGGCGAGTAATTACAACTCTTTCCTCATATTACTCCTGTTTAGGTGATTGTGGATCCTACCGGCAGAGTGCCTTCAAGATTGCTGCGGTGGTTCAAGCCCTACTGTTACAGAAACCGAAAACTGACTCCTCCGGGTTTGCGAAGCTTCTGGAGCGCCGACTTGGGCAATGGGCAAGTGGAGATCTTGCTGACTTGATGAGAGAAGCAGGCACCATTCAGGATTGGAAGTGCCTTGAGTCTGATCCTAAACCGAGGTAATGTTGACCCCGCCAGGGGCTTTGCAGACAAGGTCATGGCTGGGAAGCTTACAACTGCTCTCAAAGTATTATCGGACGATGAGGGTGGCGGCTTGCATGCCCTTGACGACACAGTTGATGGATGTACAGTCCGAGATATCCTAAAGGACAAGCACCCGTCACCAGAGCCCATCGATGAGGATGCTCTCATATCTGGCGCGCCTCCGCCGCCTCCGCATTCCGTATACTTTAGTGGCTTAGGGCAGGAGGCAATCCGAAAAGCAGCCACTTATACACAAGGTGCTGCTGGTCCGAGCGGTGTTCATGCGGATAAGTCTCACAACCACTGGCACAAGTGCCGAAAACGACCCCACTAGCTGCATCCATGTACCCCTTGTGCCTGGCCACAAGTTTCCAGTTGACTGTGGGTGGCAGCACGGCTGGAAAAACCTCTCCCAGGCAGGACTTGAACCAGGTACCTCTAGTATCTCAATCATTGTCTTTGACCAACGCACTGTGCTTGCCTGTCAATTGCCAGAATAGGTCTTGCCAAAAACACAATTTTCGTTGATGACAAAAAAACACAAAATTCCAAAATTGATGAGAAATCATCCATAACATCAGTTAGTACAAATAATATGACATAAAAATTATACAGACTGTTTGATATATTGACGAAACTGATATCAACACCAAAAAATGCACTTTGGTTGACGATAGGATCCTGGTCGTCATTTCCTGGACAAGAACAAAAAGACGCAAAAATTGATACTTTGAATATTTTTTGAAGCTTATTTTTGAGTTTTCCCCATTCCCGTATTTTTCCGGTTGTAAGTCGACCTTTTACGACTTAAAATAGACGGCGAAAGGGTGGGGGTCGACTTACAATCGGGATTCGACTTATAACCTGGAACTATCTGTATCTTACAAAAAAAATGATCTGCACTGTTTGTTTGTTTCTTTCTTTCTTTTATTTGAATTCGTTTAGAGCACAGGCAATTCTGCCTTCTCACCAGAGGAAAAACCTCCGGTTCCTGCTAAGAACGAATATAATATTATGAGAGAAGGAAATATTAAAAAGAATCAGAACATGATAATTCCAAAGCACAAAGTTTGTATATAATTCAAATGGGTGTGTGTATGTGTAAGCATGCAGTGAAGAAAACACCGAGAAACCATGCAGTAATGTTTAGGGATGCCGAGCAAGGTGGTTAACAATTACAATTAATTCTGTTCAGAGCCAGTTTAAAGGCAACCGCCGCACTGTGGAGGCGAATATCGCTGGGAAGGGCATTCCAAAGAGTGCTTCCCACAAATGTCAATGACTGACGACCGGAAGGTCCAGGAAGGAAAGGCACTTGCAGTAGCCGCTGCTCCTGTCCTCGAGTAATTCGGCGATCATCCCGGGATGCTTGGCCTGTGTTAGCCATCAACTGAAAGTAGGTGCAGAAAAGAGGACTTGCAAGATCATGTAGGCAACGGAAAACAAAAAACAAAACCTTATAGTTAAAAATGTGAGTTAGGGATCGAATAGATAAGCGCACGAGGAGGGGGGCTGTGGATGCACGGCTGGAAAGTCGGAAAATTGCACTAATTCCGGATTTGCTGGATTTGACTAAACGACTCTGCAGCTGCTGTGTCAGCGACGGAAAGAATGCATTGGATGCGTACGTTAGTCGTGCTTGCACAATGCCAATGTACCAAAGCCTGCGGGCTCTTATGGTCAGAGATCGCCCATGGCGCCATAGCTGGCTGATGGCGACTGACGCCTTCTGCACAACACTGGAGACATGTGGCTGCCAGGATAGCTGGTCATCAATGGTTACGCCAAGGTATTTGGCAGTGGAGGTAACAGTTAAGGCTTGATCCTTACATTTCACGACTGGTATGTCGCCAGTGAGTCCCCGAGGTTGAATTACCATGACTTGGGTTTTGCCGGTATTCAGCAGAAGCCCAATTTCGGAGAGCCAGTCAGACAGACGTGTCACAGCCGTAGTCAACGTCTTGCAAACAGTGTCCAGATCTGAATCAGGATAATCTAGGATGATGTCGTCCGCGAACTCCTGATGAACAACAATGCAAGGTATGACGTCGGAAATGTCACTCGTGTAAAGGACAAAGAGAAGCGGCCCAAGAACCTTGCCTTGGTTCTTAATGAAGTGATACCCCCGACACAAACTGCACAAACAAGTGTGACATTCTTTGAAAGTTTACTTTTGGCTGACCGGTTTCACTACTAGGTGTAGATCATCAGAGTGAAGAGTAAAGTGGAACGAAACACAATTTTATGCTCCCACTAGGTGGGTAGAAAATGTATTGACACATGTGGGCCGCCAAAACGCTAGGGGCCCAAGGGCATTGGGAAATGCTACGGTAATACGGTCATGCAATAATTGCACAAGGTGTATGTGTGTCATGTGTCATGAATGAAGTGCGCATGCAACTATGAGTACTATATTCATGAGGTGAATTGAATTTTAGGCGGGATCCAAAGCTTGGACACCTTGACACGCTGAGTATGACCAGACAGATAGCTAGCCAACCATAACAATACTCTGCCATTGACTCCCAGGGTGAATAGTTTATCAATCAGACGTTGATGTTGGACACGGTCAAACGCTTTTGACATGTCAACCATCACAATACCTGTGTATTTTCGCTCTTGTTTGGCCAACAGCCAACGGTTGGCGGCTAGAACTAATGCATCTTCGGTGGAGTGCATTTTCCTGTAGGCAAACTGACTGATAGGTAATATGCTATGTTGCATGAGGTATGCTGGGAGTTGCTTCTTTGCAAAGAACTCCAAAATCCGGGACAGAATAGGGAGCAATGACACTGGTCTATAGTTAGTAGGGGATGTTGCATCGCCACTCTTGAACAGTGGACTAATGTGTGATGTTTTAAAACACACTGGCACAGTAACTGATGTCAAGGATGCATTGACTAGGGTGGTAAATGGAGGTGCCAGGACATCTGAACACTGCTGCAGTACAATTCCAGGAATGTTGTCACTCCCAGATGCTTTGTGAGGACTCACAGTTTGCAAGCATTGTGCAACATCAGACACGCTTACCGGCTGAAATGTTGAGAAGCTAGATGCAGAGGCTGGACCATGTGGTATATGCAGCTCAGGTGGCCGCATAGGGTCATGCACAATGTCTCCAAATAATTTACTGAGTGACTCAAGCGGCGCTTCAGGTTCTTTCCGTGTCTTCTGTCGGCCTGTGACATCGTTCATGACAGCCCAAAGTTGCCGTTGATCTGATGTATCACATCTCTTAGTGAAGTACAAGTTGCGCAGACTCCTGTCCAACTTCCGTGCTTTGGAGCGAGCTGATCGGTGTGCTTCTTGAAGGTTCTGATCGGTTTTGTCTCGGAGCCAGAGACGATGCGCCCGGTTCCGTTCACGAACACTTGCCAATAACTCATCTGTAATCCAGGGGCAAGGACGTCGAGATTTGCGGCGCCGTTCTCGAAGTGGAGCATGTTTGTTTAGAGTGGTCTGGATTCCCGCAGTGAGTGACGACGCAAGCACATCCACACAGACAGAGTCACATGTAGTTAGCGTCTTCTCCAGGTCACATGTAAACATATTCCAATCCACTTTTTGCAAACAGCGAGTCTTGCGCAGATGCTGTCCCTTCAAGTGGTGACTTGCTGAAATTGGCAGCCTGGCAAGTATTGCAGAGTGGTCACTGATATCTAAATGTATGGTCTCGCAAACACCCTGGATCGGGGTGGTAGACAAGAATAGATCCAGTAGTGTGGCAGTACTGCTGGTTACTCGGGTAGGAGATGTGACGTGGTTGCGAAGGTTAAACTGGTTGAGTACATGATGCAAAGGAGTCACAGCATGGGCATCATTAAAGTTTACGTTGAATTTTTTTTTCTTTTTTTTTCTCCACAATATCCTTTAACATGTTATTCACAGTGGGTCCAATGTTATTAGGCATTTTGCCTGTTTTGATTTCCACTATAAAAAAAGTATACAACAAAGTCTCCTACTAGCACAGTTGTGGTCTGCGGTCCACTGCAGGCAGTCTCTAGGTTTGACTCCAGCCCATCCCAGTAGCCCGCAGATTCACTAGGTGGTCGATAGCAGCAGCCCAGTAAGACCGTCTCATTGCCTGGTCGACCTGGAGCTAGAATCTCCAGCCACAGCATCTCCAGCTCACACTCGAGGTCATGTCTTCGACGGACTTGCAAGGACGTATGACAGTAGAAGGCAACACCGCCTCCTTGCCTTCCTTCCCGATCTTTGCGGAACACACTGAAATGAGGAATGTTTACTTCTCCGTCTGTTACATCGGCTGACAGCCAAGTTTCCGCAACGCCTAGGATGTGTACTCCACGGGTTGAGATAAAGTCTTCAATTTCTGCTACTTTTCTCATAAGGCTACAGACATTTAAGAAAGCTACACTGGTCATGATCTAATACGATATGGTGAGTTCGCCAACTGTCATATGCCGGTCGTTGCTCTCGTTGTTACCCATGGCCTCCTGTTCCATGTCCGAGTCGGTCAGTAGCTCATTTCCTGAAAAGTCAACAAGTTTTTTTGGCACTCTGAAGGTTTTCCGTCCCTTGGCCATCATAAAGCCTCCCTTGTCATCTGGAGGGCAGTGAGCAGTTCCCAGCTCCTTGTTAAGCTGGTCTGGTTTGGCTGATTCCTGACTAGGTGAAGAAACTTGAGGTGTCCCAGTTTCAGGTGCTGAAGCTGTACTGCTTGCTGACTGGCTTGTACTCACTGTTGGTTCTGAATTTGCACCCACTGTGTCATCCAGTGTCCCCTGGGCCTGGCCCTGAGTACCCTTCAGCGCGCTGGCTGCTGCATCAGCGTACGGACTGGGCCTCCTGGCCTGGTGGGTGCAGAGTTTGGCGATATGAGTACTAGAGCCACACTTGTAGCACGTGGGAACTTGACCCCTGTGCCAAACGCACAGTTTCTGACGGGACTCACTGCATGCACGAGTGCACCATGTGTACACATTGTTGCCAGTTTATTGGCATTTTTCAAGGATTGGGACGTTATACCCTCCATTAAGGAATGTTGACATGTTTACATGATTTTTTGATGTGTAAGTAGCAGGAGGTGGTTTGTAGTGCTTCTTTGGGTGAACACTTTAAAACGCAGAATTGAGACCTCCGGATACGGGGGTCGACCTATAACCGGGGTCGACTTACAACCGGTAAAATACGGTATATCACATTGTGGATACTTCAAGTACGTTCTATAAGCGTTTTGAAACAGGTTTATCGCGGCGAAAATAGGGTCACCGTGTGTATTCTGGAAAAATATCAAACTCTCGAAATTAGGCTAATTTTGGGTAAATTCACGTATCCATATTGCTTGTACTTCTCTGCTGCTGCTTTGGTCGTAACCTATTTGATTTTTGGCTGTTACGTGTTACATAGACTTCCCAGTGCCCTCGGCATTCAGAACAGTATAAGAATGGAAAAGCTGAACTAGTGAATTTGCCCGAAAACCCTGGGTGCACGAATTATCGATAGGTACTTTTCTCCATAATTACTCTTCTGTTGGTACTTGATTTTGATACATGAACATGTAGCTGTGATAGCGCTTAGCACAGCCCCATATCAAACTACAATTAAAGCTGACATTTTTGGACGAAACAGACAACATTAGTCCTCTTGTTCTTCGACTATGTGAGCTAGAACGTGTTCCCGCACTGGCAAAAATGATGGTATTTTATGGCGCGCACAAACAAGTGAAGCACCGCGCCATAGGGCGTTACTTACAGTTGGATTACTGCTGGTTCTTGGCTAACGTTAGGTGTTCATCCACAGCTAATTGTAAACTTCCTTGAGGTTGTCACCCTCTTCTTACCTCCGACTTGCTCCTTCATCAGTCTGGAAATGGCTGGCTCACTACTTCGTTTGTGTGCGAAGACAAAGTGCTTCATCACCAACCCATTAGCAGCTGCCCGCATTGCAACTGATTTGGAGAAGTACTTTACTTGGACCAACGGTTGAAGGTTGGTCAGCCGCTTTTGCTGATGTTCTGCAAACTCCATCGCCGGATATGCTGGTGCAAAAGTGGCGGAGTGCTACAGGATACTGGCATCACGGCGAGCTTCGACAATTTCAGCTATGGCCGCAACATCCGCAACAGCATCGTGAGCAGCGAACTCATTCCCAACGATGAACTATAAATCGAAGTGAGGCTGTAGCTTGGGAGCTCCGGTATCGCGGTTTAGCGATCAGATTGTTAACCTAGCACAAAAATGCACACCATTGACACACACATGCGTGCACACCATTGACACACACATGCGTGAACACATACACACATATACACACACACTAACACATATGTTCCAAAAATAATTAACGAACCGCAATAATGGGATAAAAGTTCCGGCAATCATAATTGAAAACATTCATCATTGAACACACTACAAAACGGAGGCCCGCGCCAATACACACACACACACACACACACACACACACACACACACACACACACACACACACACTGTACTGTACTGTACTGTACTGTATTGACAGCTACCCTAACGGGTCACGCCGCCCTCCACCCAAGCATGGGTATGATGAGGGATAGTGGCAAAAAAAACAAAAAAAACAGCAAGCAGAGAGAGATAGCAAGAGAAAGACAGCGATAGTAGTACATCTAGTGTGTGACGTAGAGATGACAAGAGATACGCACAAAAAGGAAACAATAATTATTTGAACCTGTATTATTGCAGTTCCGAAACAATCAACCAGGTGATGGAGTGTGGGCACCTGAAGTCCCACCTGGACTCCACTGGATTAATATCCTACGCAGGGATGTCAGCGAAAGGCCAAGCGTTGAAAAACAGCCATGAAAGCACATCGTCTAGAAGTCCACCGCGCTCGAACTGAAATTGCAGGATCAAACAATTTCCCACGCGTCGTCGGGCAGCGTAACTCTTCTCCCTGCAGCACCATCCATCTCCAGAAACCGTCTCCACTCACATCTCATGCCTCTGCCACCACTGTACTCCGAACTTCCCAGTTTGAAACCATTCGGGGGTGAGCTACACCACCGCGAATGGATAGACGGGGACGACAACAGTCGTGACAGAAAGACACTGCCCTGGCGATCTCGTCGCGGAACCCTCGCCCCAGCGAATTCAGGAAAACGCCAGAGGCGACTCTGGTGGACCCCGAGCCACCCCGTGGCCTAAGACTAGTAAGAGAAACGACTGAAAGCTTAGATAAAACGGAGCTACAAAAAGTGCAACCGTCCCCTTCTATCAAAGTTTCAACACACACACACACACACAGACACACAGACACACACACACACACACACACACACACACACCTTTGACCTTGACCTAAACCTTTGATGCCCCATCTCCAGTGGAGATGATAGGCTACTGAGTTGGGCAGTACTTGATGTGATGCTTCAAATCGCCACTTCTCCTAAGCGCTCATCCGCCTGCGCAATGAAAGTCCTCACACACACACACACACACACACACACACACACACACACACACACACCTTCCTTCCTTCCTTCCTTCGCCCACTGCCACGATTGGCTATGTGTCCCAAAACGGGGCGACTTGGAGGAGTGCTGTCTCCGGGACGCGGCATGAGGCCCTGCGAGTCCGGCGGGACGTGAACGGCTGTTTCACTGTTTGTTTTTTGCCTTTGCGGAGCGACGGGAGGTGCAACTATGTCTAGCGATGTCTTGAGGACGGCTGAAACGGCGTGTGCAGACCATACACAGTAGTGGTTTCACGGCAGGTTGTACACGAGAGCATACCACACTGTAGACTCCATCCTGACACCTGGTTCTCCACTCAGACCTATCATCTGCTGTTTCAAGCCACTCATTCATGCCAATGGACACCGCCGTCAGGTCATGTTTGATTGGGTCTTTCCACCTCTTCCGGGGGCCATGTGGAGGTCGTTTATACGGCAAGGCACCAAAGAGCAATTGGCGGGGAATACGGTCATCCATGCGAGCCAGGTGGCCCAGCCATTGGAGACGACGGCGCCGGACCTTGTCAGAGACCTGCTCCATGTCACCCCACCACTGCCGTACCTGAAGGGTTGTCACGTGCTCGTCCATCTGGCGCGCCCGACTGACGCCCAGGACCATGCGTATAGATCGCAGGTGAAACGACTCCAGACGCTGGAGATCCCGTTGCCTCGGTGTCCAGTTCTCAGCACCATAGAGGAGTACTGCCAACACAGTGACTCCGTACACAACACGCTTGAGACCGATAGGAAACTCCGAGTTCGCAAACACAGCTTTCTTCAATGCGCCAAATGCACCCGAAGCCGCGGCGATCCTGCGAGAGACATCAAAGCTACTCCTAGCATCAGGAGTGATCTGGCAACCAAGATAGCGGAAGCTGTCCACGTATTCGACGGTTCCACCCAAAGGCAACATATCCGACGCCACCACACCAACGCCCATAGGCATGAACTTAGTTTTGCCCAGATTGACTGACAGGCCAAAAGATGCTGCAACCTGTCTAAACGTGGCCAAGGCCCTTTCAGCACCGCCGTAGGTTTTGGCGAACAGTGACGAATCGTCCGCAAACTGACACTCCGTGATAGTCACCCTGCGACACTCTCTGAGACGCGTATTGAACAAGCAGTCTCTGCGAAACTGCGACACCTGGATACCGATATCCTCGTCATTGGCGATGGTAGCATGCCCCTTTTCCACAACCGCAACCATGAATAAGTTGAACAGGATCGGGGCCATAGTGCATCCCTGACGTAGGCCATTTCCCACCGGGAAAGGGTCGAGCAGATCTGCGCCGAGACGAATGGATGCAGACATGCCTTCATGGAACGACCGAATGATGGAAATCAGCTTATCCGGCACGCCGAGCCTGGAGAGAACCCTCCACATGGCTGCTCTAGGTACTGAATCGTATGCTTTGCGCAAGTCGATGAACACCGCAAAGCCCTTTGATGCCCTTTGATGAATGCTCATGCAATTTCTCGGCAACCTGGCGTACTAAGAACACCATGTCTAAGCATCCCCTACCACGGCGAAAACCACACTGGGAGTCAGGCAGGTATTCCTCTCCAACCAGCTGCAGGCGATCCGATATTATTCTTGCCACGAGCTTGCCGACCACGTCTAGAAGCGCGATGCCTCGCCAGTTACCACAGTCACTAAGATCACCTTTCTTGGGAATTGGGATTAAGATGGCGTCTGCCCAATCCTGAGGAACTCTTTCCGTCCGCCACACTTCAGCCAACAACATCTCCAACCTAGGCACCAGTTCAGAGCCGCACTTGAGCATCTCCGCTGTTATCTCTGATCGGCCACATGCTTTGCCATTTTGAAGCGCTCGCATAGCACGGTGTATCTCGCTGCAGGCTGGGGCGTTCTCAAGGTCAAGCCGAATCGGGAGCTGCCCAATGGAATCAATGGCATCTGGGACAAAATCACTGATCACCTTTAGGACACCGTCAAAATGCTCCCGCCATCGCGTACCTGTTGCCTCTGGTGTCTCGCACACAACACCCTGCGCATTCTTGATAGCAGCTGTTTTGCGGGGCTGCAATCCATCAAGTGCAGTTTGGATCCTCTTGATGCACTCCCAGCCTCCCTTAGATGTTTGACTAAAGCGTTCGCAGTCCCGAGCCTGCTTTCTCAGCCAGTCCTGGTTTGCTTGACGAACGATACGGCGAGCTGAACTTCGGGCCTTCTTATACAGCTTCTGATCACTTGCCCTGTTGGTCGACATCCAGGCTCGGTAGCAATCGTCTCGCTCACGGAGGGCAGCCTCAATCTTCGGTCGATTGTCCAGGAACCAGTCTGGTTGTTTGCGCCGCTCTCTGCCAAGGCATTTCTGAGCGACGTCCGCCACCGTAGTTTTCAACGCAGCCCAGCATCCGTCCACAGATAGCTCATCTGGCCAGTTCTGAACCAAGGCAGCATCAAGACTAGTGGAATATTTTTCTCGCACTTCATCATTGGAGGGAGCCGTTAGGACTGCGGAAGCGATGGGTTTGTTGGCTGGTTTACTTTGCCTGCAGAAACTGGGCACCGCTGCCAAGCGGCATCTCATGGCGAGGAACTTATGGTCGGTGTCACACTCCGCAGAGCGGAGAACTTGACAATCCAGACATTGACGCTGACATGACTCTGGAATAATGCAGTAGTCGATACAATGAGGCTGCCCATACCTGGGATGGTGCCACGTGTGCTTGTGGATGTCCTTCTTCTTGAACCAGGTGTTGCAGATGAGCACACTGTTTCTGGCCAGGAAGTTTAGTAAATCCTCTCCAGCAGAATTCATGACGCCATGTCCATGTGTACCCCTTACGCGGCTCCACTCGTCTCCAGCAGTACCAACACCAACACGAGCATTGAAATCGCCGAGTATGACATACTGGTCACTCCTGGGTACACTATCAAGGAAGGACTGCAAACTTTCATAGAACGCAGCTTTCTCCTCACGTGATCTACTGAATGTTGGTGCATACGCAACAGCGATATGAATGCAAGATACTGAACGGTTACGACACATTCGAACTTTACCTTCGCGGAGACAAGTCGCGAGCTGTGTCCTTTCCACTCCGAACCGCCGCTGACAAAGGCGTCTTTGCACTTTCCGCGCAGCACTATCACCACACCTTCACCACGACGTCCAGAGTCATCTGCCGTTGGAGTAGGGCGTCCACTCGCCAACACGAGAGAGTCGCCAACGCTGTACTGAGCCGTGCCGAACCAAAGGGTCTCCTGCAGACCTGCGATATCCACTCCGAAACGTCCAAGCTGCCGACAAACCAGGTCAATTTTCTTCTCCTCCCGCAACAAATGTTTTTTTTTTTTTTTGACACACACACACACACACACACACACACACACACACACACACACACACACACACACACACACATACACACCCACAGCACACACACACACACACACACACACACACACACACAACACACACATGCTCTCACACCCAATAACACAAAAGCCCGCGTACACACACATACATTCACGCACGTGTACGCACCCACCCACATGCATGTGCACACTCATGTGCATGAGTGGAGATGATCGAATACACATGTCACACCAACATGCCCTTGGAGTGGTCATTCACGTGTGCATAGTGTGTGTGGGCACGTCCATATGAGCGCATATGCATGTGCATGCTCATACATGTGTATGTGCACACATGCACAAACATGCAGGTCTAAGCAAACACACACACACGCTCGCGCATGCGCCACCCATACAGTGTGCTCATACATTTCCATAGCCACAGGGTGGCAATGATTTCGCAATATCACGAATAAATCTTATGAGATTGAAAAACACACATACCAAAAGCAGCTTTGGTGTTGCTTGTGAAAGCACGGGGGCAAGAGTGTGAGCTGTTACACGGCCATCTGTATCTATAAAATTCTCCATCCCACCACTGCTGACACAGGATGACAAGTACGCTGCCCAGGCGTACCTCTTCTCTTCAACGAAATCAATGAGTGCCAGAGGTTTTCCCCATCCAGGATTCTGGCACGCAGACAATCCCACAGCTAGATACCTGAGATGAACTATTCGTCGACCGTGAAGAGGGGCACTGAACGACCTCTTCGAGGGAGTCAAATCCAGTGGCTTTGGTGGTGGAGATTGCCCTTTCCGTTTTTCAGGAACTCGAACGATCGTTCGCCTTGCGAAACGTCCCCTCCTCGGCTTCCTTGAATCGTCCAGTACGCAGAATGCCAGGCCACGCTGTGGGTGACGGATTACTCTCCCGCGTCTTCATCTCCCAACACGTCGGCAGGAGAACCAAGCCATCCAAAAACCGCCGATGTAAAAACAAATCCGCAAGTGCACTAGTGGCTGAGCTTCTTCCCCAAATCTTTGTCTCGACTTGAGCACGCGCTGCGGCAAACTACCGGTACTTACTCGATTGTAAATGATCACGTCTCATTTTTTCACTCCGAAAGGTCTTATTCTTAAGAAATTAAATCGGAAATCCAACATGCCGCTAACGGTCGGGAACCCCCTTAAGAGAGCATGTCTGAGAATACCAAAGTATGTGTGCATGTGGATCTCTCCGATTTAGCTCAAAATTTGCAGGTAGGTTCCCTTTGGGGTGTGGATCGATTGTGCAAAGCCCTTGAAAAAGTTTCTGAAGGGAACCTTGAAATTTGCATACCCCTAAAAAATGGCCGAAATATCACATTATTTATGGGTCTAGAAACCAGTCACGCCACAGAGTATACGAACAAGCTATGAACAAAATTCCATCAAGCCAACATTGCCTCACCTTAGAAGAGTTCCTGGAGAAGTACTGCTTAGCCACACCAGCATCCCAGAAGACGAGGTCCATCACCCCCTGACGCCACAAATGAACGTCTTGAAAATAGCCAATTTACAAGCGCTGGCAAAACAGCCAGCTAAGTTCTCAATTGGCCAGAACTATACACCGGCAGATAGTAGAACACCTCTTCTAGCGCTGAGGACATGTCCCCCACCTTCCTTTTGGGGTTTTCTTGAAAGAAACTGTTTTGAATTTTTCCACTCGACCATGCTGAAATACGGCCAAAGTCATACCTCCGCAGGAAAGCTCGCCCCGTCGCTACGTCTCCTCAGCAATTTCTACTCCAACACTACTCCTAAGGCCGCAGAACAAAGTGTAGTGTTGACTCTGACAAGGAAAAGCAGCGGTGATCACTTGTCACTCCAAACGACAAGCTTCTCCTTGCGCCACCAATAATTTTTTGTGCGACTGTTGATGCAAAAGTGACTTAAGTCCTGAGCGCAGTTTTTGAATTTTATTGCTAGATGCACGGAGAGATCGCGTGCTCTGTGACGCAGGATGACGCTTCCTGCATCACGATACGCGGCCAACGATCGTGAATGTGCCTGGAACGCTACTCGGAACAGACCATGATGGCAGAGGTAAGATGAGCTTCATTTCCTGCTTGAACTGCTGAGTACCCCCACAAAATGTCCTAGGAGTGTTGCAATGGTAGCAAGCCGTTGAAATATGCCCCACGTACAGCATGGAGAGTTATTCATCTTTCACACTTACCTCCTGCAATCCCGAACATAGTCCAACAGTAAAAGTCCCTTGTTTTCATGTCGATGCTTGACAAAAGCGGCTAGCTCGGCGCGGTCCCTTTGTGTTGACTGGCACGCGAGTAGCACTGACTGCACGCACTGGTCGCGTGAACTGCATGAGAGATTTCTTACGTCATAAAGAATGTGATTTCATCATCATTTCACTGGTCTTCGACCTACATGGTCAGGGAAAGTCCCGGTTCGTAGGCCTACAACACGGTCAGCATGTTCTTGAGCGCAGTAACAACACAAGTGTGATCACTTCCAGACCAACGGGCGTTCAAGGCGAGTAACAAGCGCACTTGACGAAGGTGACTCTGAAATCTCGTGAGCCGTGGGCCACTCGCGCGACTTGGCATTCTTGCGTCACAAAGCACTTGATTTCACCGTGCATCTTGCAATAAATTTCAAAAAATGCGCTCAGGCCTTCAGTCACTTTTGCATCAACAGTCGCACAAAAAATATTGGCGGCGCAAGGAGAAGCTTGTCGTTTGGAGTGACAAGTGATCACCGCTGCTTTTCCTTGTCAGAGTCAACACTACACTTTGTTCTGCGGCCTTGGGAGTAGTGTTGGAGTAGAAATTGCTGAGGAGACGTCGCGACGGGGCGAGCTTTCCTGCGCAGGTATGACTTTGGCCGTATTTCAGCATGGTCGAGTGGAGAAATTCAAAAAAGTTTATTTCAAGAAAACCCCAAAAGGAAGATGAGGGACATGTCCTCAGCGCTAGAAGAGGTGTTCTACTATCTGCCGGTGTATAGTTCTGGCCAATTGAGGACGTAGCTGGCTATTTTCAAGACGATCATTTGTGGCGTCAGGGGGTGATGGACCTCGTCTTCTGGGATGCTGGCGTGGCTAAGCGGTACTTCTCCAGGAACTCTTCTAAGGTGAGGCAATGTTGGCTTGATGGAGTTTTGTTCATAGCTTGTTCGTATACTCTGTGGCGTGACTGGTTTCTAGACCCATAAATAATGTGATATTTCGGCCATTTTTGAGGGGTATGCAAATTTCAAGGTTCCCTTTAGAAACTTTTTCCAGGGCTTTGCACAATCGATCCACACCCCAAAGGGAACCTACCTGCAAATTTTGAACGAAATAGGAGAGATCCACATGCACACATACTTTGGTATTCTCAGACATGCTATCTTAAGACACTTTTCAACATCCACAACACTTAAAGGTTTGAAGACGTGAAGACTGTTGGCTGGCATTGGCCCGAGTGGCGGGTGGGGAAAAGGGGGGGGGGGACACAGGAAAGTGGAGGAGCAAGCACATTTGCACATTGCCGCAGGACAATTCCAGGTACAGAGTCACTGCCGGCAGCTTTGAATAGATCCACAGCTTTAACCCTAGGACTGCCACCACTTTCGGTACTCCTCGAACGGCCAAACGGTGTCATTTGACACCTGCATTCATTTCCATGTCTAAGACTTATGATAGGTTATTATAGTTTTTGTTTTCAGTGCTGGCTATCACTAGCGGCATTTATGATGTACACAACACTTTAGGATTCACCCAGACACTATTGTTAGCTATACGCAACTAAAATACAATGTACGCGTAACGGCGATTGCGACGAATGAACTCAATTACTGGCCAAACTTCTATTACTTCCATAGGAATTTCTTACAATCACAGAGTTACAATGACAAGCAATGTGGCAACTTCACTGGGCTCATAAGGAACTGCTTTTCGGGAATATGTGCTTTGGCATAATCGGATTACTCGACCTTCACGATGAATAACACACAGTAACAAGTACAAACATGGACTGACTATGAGCATTATTGTTTCACCAAGCTGATACATATGCTGCTAGACATGGTTTCAAGATTAGGTTAGTAACGACTGCATTTTAGACTCTTTCAAAGAGGTATACCCTTCTCTTCTCCTTGGCTGGAACTTAGCAACTAGATGCCATGACTATCTACAAGCTTATTGACCAGTGCAGGAATGAGCTTTTTCTGGATGTCCATGAACCAGCAAAGGTCTGGGATATTGTGAAAGCGTTGATGCCTGTCACATCTATTCATTTATGTAACCGCCTTGCAGGGGGACATCTTCTGGAGTAGTCTTTGTTGAGTAGATCCACCACATTCGATCGAAATAGTCAAGGACATATCTGGTCTTTTGCTAGAATTGGATTATGTGGGGCTTCCTACTCTCACCATGTAAAACATATGGCTCTAGGTGGTCTACACTAGGCGGACCATTGATAATTCTTGCTACTTCTACTTTCTACGTCTACCGTCTTTGCATCCTACAATGTAATCTTGAAAAAACAAAATGCAATCCGCGATTATTGGCAATGAAGTTAGATGGTAGTTCACTTCAATTTACCAAAGTGGTTCATACTGCAACTCTTTCTTCTCCAAAAGTTTCTTAACCAGTAATGCACTGATGATGAAGTTATCAGTCAATACTTAGCAATCACCTTCTGCAGCATCCGG